TGGTCGCCTCGACAGGTTTTGCTGTCTGTATGTTTCTTCAGGAATTCCATTATGCAATCGCCTATACAGTCATGTACATGTACATGTACGTGCAATTTGTTAAAATCAGTTTATAGTACAGTGTGCATGTTCTTTGAAGTTTGATCTAGAGAAACTCTTTCCTTTGTCGCTGGTGACGCCCCTTTCTGCGGACACCCGCCAGTTGTCCACACAGCTTCAACAGTGTGGATTTATACAAATATTTGTTCTTGCGACGTGTGCATGCAAGTCACTAGCTCTACACTGCAGTTTTGAGTCTCGACTGACTGACCCAATCTACTACATGTACATACCATGTACTTGCAGTATCACTATTGCCAGTAATTCAGTTTGAGGCTGTTCCAGACGCTGTTAGTTCGGAGGAACGGAGGTTCTTCTTAGCGAGCACCACATGGGGAGGTAATGTGACATTGTGCTAGAAGAACATTTGCTCCCCTGGTTAACCTACAAGTATATTGATAACTCAGAAGTACACTTTGAAGGGAACGAAATACCTACAATGTAGATATCCTATTCAAGTCAACATTCGGGTCAAGTAGTTACTAAATAACAAAAAGAATAAAAAAAATGAAGACACTCGCTAAGATGGATGCGCTCACACACATGTACCGTAAGTGTACACAGTACAGAAAATAGTGTACATGTACATGTAGATGTATATTGGAACAGATCACGAACTCATAGTCTGCCAGGGGGCAATCAAATGTAGCTATACACTGTACTGTACATCTTCACAGGGTAATGTAAAAGTGTGTGCTGTACGGACTGGTGTCCTTTGCAATTATCGTGTTCGGTCACCATGCTAAACAACTAGCCCTTAACCTGGCCTTTAATACGTAGCTGCAAGTGCAAATGAGTTCAAAGTGGAGATCAAGTCTACCTGCTCATTATAACACAGAATAGGAACGGGATTCTGTCACCAGGTCACAGTGATACACGACGTTGCATGCCTATTCTACAGAGAGCTGCTGATGGAATCCAGTTGGCTGTTTGCTGCTGGTCTAGTCGACTGCTATAATGACAGGGTGGCTTCGCCAGCATGGTGATACTCCCCGGCTTCAATATGGGTCTCAATGGTCATGACGCTTCTAACGTCTGATTCAATCCGCTGCTGCTGCTGGTGCTGCTGCTGCTGCACATCATGTAGGTGCTGCGTTGCTTGCCGGAGACGCTGCCGTCGGACCGTGCAGTATGCAATCAAAGCTGTGCAGCTGAGAAGCAAGATGCTGACGGTTGAGGAGACGGCTGAGGCAATTATCACCAAATTGTGTCCGGATATTCCCCTGTGCCGGGAAACAAGGCAAACTGAGGCAAGATTAATTCAAAACTCACATGGCACCATCCTTTGTTGCTGTGTCTAACACCACTAGGCATTGGTGTAGATCAATAGGTACGGAGTACATTGTACAATCATGTAAGTATTTAAAAAAGCTCTACTGGTACAGCTCGGTAGGCGCAATGTTACCAGATGACGTGCAAAAAAAAACAAGTGAAAAAACAAACAAAAGCAGAAACACTCTTTATGGCCTGCACAGGCAAGGCAAGATCACTGAACGAGCATTCTGATCTTGTGTTGAAATGCCACCTTGACGGCCTGAGTCGAAATACTGCCTCTCAGACTAACTTAGAGAAAGGTTCCTTTAGAGCCTCCGTTACGATCCACTTCATCCATACTACTGGTTTATGTGATCATAATTATTATAAACACAGAATAAACATGAAGTTGATTGTTCCAACTAGGAACACACGCTTCTTGCCGAACTTGACACTTGACAGACTCACGACTGCAATCCGGAGGACACGAGGAGCACGTCGCACCTTCCACTCGGCAAACCTGCAAGAAAGCACCACTCCCTTTCTTGCAGGTTTGCCGAGTGGAAGGTGCGACGTGCTCCTCGTGTGCTCCGGATTGCAGTCGTGAGTCTGTCAAGTGTCAAGTTCGGCAAGAAGCGTGTGCTCCTAGTTGGAACAATCATTACTTCATGACTATTACCGCCGAAGTCGCAACTTCCAAGGACAGAAAAAAAACAGTATGTGAATACCGGATATGTTTGCCATGCAGGGGCCACGACCACTTACTAAGTGCAACATGACACATTGACAGGGACATCGATCGATGTAACTACAGTACATACACTCATGTGGAAACAACACTGTATCCAAATTCTCGCCCATGTGCAATATGCAGCGACATCATCCATCAAACTTCATCTGGCTACATACAGTAATCATTGCACGTGCCAACTGCCAAGGCACCAGCGTATAACAACTTTGTGGGATATTAACAGTTCACTTGGTATTCTACTTTCCAGTCAAGCATAGTCTTCCGCTGTTTGCTTTTAATTCTTCTACCCGAGTAAAGTTCAGACACTCCGAGCAGAAACGGTTAAACCGCTACTAAGTAGCAACCCGTCTCTGCAGTCATCAGTACAATCAAAACTCGGTATGTATGTGTATCTCAGTTTATAGAGCACGCTGACTGTGATGCTTTGAGTCGGTGTAAGCATGCTTGGTTGTTCACTGGACTTCGTTGCGATCGGTTTGTCCAGTGACTCGGAGATCCACTGACTGAGGAGACCTAACAACTAAGCAAGGTCGAAATAGCTGGCTGCCCGGTGAATTAGGAACAGTTTAATAGAATCAAAATGTTGGTGGTTCATGTACTGTACATTGTCGTGCATACTGTGCAATCATGGCACAGCAATGCGTTACCTGAGAGTGAGAAGCATACTGTCCATTGTGGATCACGGACTCAGCACATACATGTGCAACTGTAAGATTACTAAGAAGCATGAAGTCACGATAGCGTTTGCCTCGGTGAGTTACTTACTGGTGCAGTCCGTGGTGCCGTGTCGACCTGTGCCTGTGGGGGCTTCTATAAAATCCTGTCCTATGCTCCCAGGTCCCGGGAAGATGCTGCCGGGCGGCCAACCCTGGGCTGTAGCGTTCCAGAGCACCTCAGAGATCTTCGACCTGCGCCTTTGTTCCTTATTGTAAGAGCGATCTTGGAATGTGAAGTTGGAAGCACAGAAGTTCTTATCGGAGCAGTAGTACTCTCCGCCTAACCTCACTGGCAAGACTAGCGGCAGTTGTCGGTTGAAGCAGCTGTACTCAATACGCGATCTCTGCCGTCGCTGATGCTCTGGCGTGCCTTCGTCAACAGCTAGTAACGGCCAAGAAGAACTCATCTGCATCCGCAGGTTTTCTCTCTGCTGCTTGAGCACAGCTTTGCAGGAACGGGCCGGACCACATTCTAGCTGGTAATTCGTCCTGCATTCGTCCGTTGTGCACTCACACATCACACGACCCTGTCCATTCTGCGATTGAATCTCCTGCAGACTGAGAGCCTGCGCTGAAGACCACGGGACGAGAAAGAACACAAGCAGAACTACAATCACCGGCACTCGAATCCAACACGAACTGCTTGCCATCAAGGCGTAGGCCCGAGGATCGACCCGGGGAGATGAGCTGAATTGTGTACCGCTATACGAGACCGACATGGAGCAGTTGTAATTGTATCCAACCGTGCTGGCGAGCCTCGTTCTTGCTGACCTTAAGCCTTTTGTAGAAGACTGTTGGTTTCACCGACTCTCTACTCTCTAGGACAATACAATAGTAGGCGTGTGCTGGAATCAGTGCTTCTGCACGCTGCTGTCAGTCTAGCCTGGAGCTACACCCACCATACTACTAATAATAATTAGTATGCTATCATGGAGTAGTCGACACACACTGCACAGACACTATTACAGTGTTAGCCCAACGACCACGTGTCAGCGTAAAACTACACGAACTTTTTCAACGCTGTGGTATGAAGTCAGGAGGGTTTTCTAATAAGGACACACACCCAGCCAAGCAGTTTCCGGCACTCGTCTATTTTGTGTGGACGCCTATGCTATGGCTATGCCCCGTGGTCATTGACATTGTTGGTTCCGGGAGACTGCGTGATGAAACCCTCATGACATGTACCTACTGTACATGTATACGGTACAGCAGCACACAGTCACACCAGGTATAATAACTATACAATCACATCAAGCCATCAACGATCCAGGCTTGCTTTATACATGACTTGAGCTGCATCTGATCGGCGCTCTGGACCTTCGACTCACGTCGCGTTCACGGCTGCTAGCCAGCGCGGTTCGGCGTCGACCAACGTTGAAGAACCGAATGAAGTGGCAAGCCGGCAACATGACTGTCCACACGACAATTGCGCGAAAACAATGTACACTTGGTGTACGATCGCGCCAAATGCTGAAGGAGCTGAGGTGAAGCGAGTTCTGCACTGGCTACGCTATGTCTGGTATCGTAAGCAGGCGTCAGGGCTCATCAGTTGGTTAGGTACGAGTATAGGTCTGTTGCTTGACGGTTATAGGGTACGCTATATCTAGCTTCTAACTCTATCACCGGGCTAGGCGATGGGTTGTTGAACGCTGCCTTGAGCGTCCAAGAGATTCTTTGATTCCATGAGAGCTACTCAGTCTACCTTGTACGCCTTGATATGGCCGGGTCGGCGGGCGAACATTGAGTGCCAATAATCGGATTAGACGTCGAAATTCGGTTCCAGATGCTTGGCAAATGTTTGAAAGATGTTCTCAGTTTCCCCCATTCACATAACCAGTACGGAACGCAATCCTCACCTTTGCCATAATTATGAGTGCTGACTGTCGAAACTGGTTCGAACTGTACTTCACCAAACGGTCGTTTTCAGAACCTTTTGGATGCAAAATCGCTAACGAGTAGCATTTGGAGCACTATTCAAGAGAGCTAGAGCTAGAGGGGGCTCTAACCCCAGCAAGTGCGGTTCATGAGTAATGTTATCACTATATCAGCATTCGATTTGGAGTCTGTGCGAAAATACCCAACATGCCGAAGCTAAGCCTAAGGCAAGAAGAGTGTGGATTCTTTCAAGATTGACGGTAAATCTAGCACGCACTTGAACCTGCTTGGAAGCGGACGGATTTTTTCCAGCCGTGCTGCGGCCCACAGTCTCGTGATCTGGCACGAGGGAAACATGGATACAGGGAATGGAATTTTTGGTCTTTGACCACTTTGTGGTGGGTCTGATCTACTCACCTCCCACCGCTTAGGAGATGCATGCATCTGCGCCTTGATCTAAGAGGGTGGTGGCGTTCCTGCGGATACGGAAAACTCGGCCTTCGCCTTCGGCTGAGTCTAACGCGAACCGTGATTTTTTCTTTTCTTTTTCTAGTACGCACGATGTGGTTATGATAATGTTACCAGCATTGGAGTCCGTGCGAAAATGCCATAATTAGGCATAAAACCAAAAGCTATATTAAAATGGGCTATATATCTAATATTGACTGAGTACGAGGTCAATATAGGAAATAAAAGCCGAGTAAAAGACCGAGGCGAAGCCGAGGTCTTTTACGAGGTTTTTATTTCCTATACTGACCAAGTACGAAGTCAATATTAGATTTATCACGACAAACAGTCCGTATTTCAATTCCAGAACGATAACCTCATGAATCCCGGTTTTAGGATTGCACAACCGTTGCACCACCACCTACTCATACAGTGACAATGCTGCACTAGGCACCGTTCAACTGCGCAACCCTAAGCAGTCAAATATAAGCAGTCAATATAGCCCTAAGGAGTGAAATATGCAGGAATATTTGACTGCTTAGGTATGGCAAAAATCTATGGGAGTCAATACTAAGGGAGTGATAATCAGTCATATACTAGTATGTAGGAGACATTCGATTCGGGTCATGCCGAATGGAGTCCTGTGCGAAGTGGGGAATGCTCATAAGAGGGACGCTGGTGTCAACCGCGCTGAAATGGGTTTCGCTGGTGTGGGAGCACGCCATTCAGACTACGGCTACAGTCACGTCTGAACGTGAATTTCCATGCTGATCCAGTCGTGTTTCGAAAGACAAGGGTCTGATCAAACATGCCTGAGTCGTAGAAACATGGTCACGGCTGACCGTAGTCTGAATACTTCAATAGCCTTAGAAAATCAGCATCGGAGTCTGTGCGAAAACACCACAAAAGCCATGGCAAGAGTGTGAATTCTTTCAGGATTGACGGTAAATCTAGGTACATATAGTAGGCATGATGTGGTTTCGGACTGAGCGGCGTGTAAGGAGCACACTAGTTAGAAGAGTGTCGTGATGCACAGGTTTCGCTATAATAACTGTGCGAACGCCGCATGATCACACAGTACACAGTACACAGTACACAGTACACAGTACACAGTACAGATTAGTCGCTTTGTTCAATGTCAATGACTTGCTAAAGCCAGTGGCAAAATGAGGAAGGGTGGCTAGACGGTGTGCCAGACCAAGCGCCGAAAGCCAGAGAAAGTGTGAGATTTCACCGTAACATTGTGAAAATGTACAATGCGTGTGCTAGCCGTGACGGTAAACAATGATAGAACTTTAGAGCTAAACATGGCAATTGAATAGCTTAGATCCTTAGCGCTTTGGATTATTATAACAACCCAGTAAAGGAAGGAAAAGCGCAATGTGTGTGTCTTTCGTGTTTTACTTGGCATCCACTGCTAAAGCAACTCCATTTTTTCCCGAACGAGCTTTGGTGTTCCCTGAACGGAAATGGACGGACTTTCGGAAAGACTAAGCCGCGATGAAGGCCAGAGATTCCTTGATTTGTTCTTGGGATACGTGCCTCAGCTGTCAAGCTTCGCTAGTGGTAACGGCACGGCGCTTCTTGCTACTCCTGGACCAATTGACGCCCCACTGGTGTTCTGGGGACCGAATCTCTTTCACCAGACTGCTACGATGAGTGTGTGTTACAGACATGGAGAAGGCGATGAGTATGTACAATCGGCGGTGGACGTCATGCAGCGACTATCAGCATTGCCACACGCGTATACGCTGGCTAAATTCGGACAAGCGACTGTTGCAAATCTCCTCGTTGGAGAAATGACGGCAATTGCTTCCGACCTGATACTGTCAGCCGTGCATCGAGCGCTTGGTTCCATCCGATTATATGTGTACCTGCAAGTTGGCCCCAACGGTTGCAAGTATGTGACCGTTCATCAGGTAATATTAACAATGTTTGATGAAGTATAGTCATGAATAAGTACACTTACTGCAGAAAAGGCAATTATGTGGTGAAGAAAACGGGAAACCATTCTTATCTTCCGCTCATTACTTTATTGAAGAAGCCTATTGCTTGGTAGCTCAAACCTCTTAGGAGGTGAAACAACTTTTACAGAAGAAGTGCCATTTTCTCTGTTCTAAGTTGTTCTCTAGCATGTATACATGATTTTCTTATGGGGATACATGTAGACTACGTATGCATTTTGTTGTACTTAGGAGGCGTCGAAATTCAGAAAATTGCGTTTTTTGTACTTTCAAGTGGCCATAAATACAATAAAATGCATAAGTATCCCCATAATATGAATATCATTTCTAGGGTCTATGCATGCCAGAGAACAACTTAGAACAGAGAAAGCGGCACTTCTTCTGTAAAGTTTGTTTCACGGTCAAAGTGGTTCGAGCTACATTGTATTATAATCTGCTAAGCACATTTTTTACATACGCTATGTATCAGTCATGCACACACCATGCATCAATGGTGCCTCCGCCATACATGTACATGTACATGTACATGCATACGCCGCGCAGAAACTGTTTGTACATGTGACTATCATGCTGTCGGTAATTTAGGGGTCGTCCGTAATTTTCGAAAAATTAAAAAATCCGTCCTCGTGCAAAATTGCCTCTGACCCACCCACCCACCCCCCCCCCCAATTTTTCCCATTAATTTTTTGATTTTTACCGATGCCCAGCTCGAAAATAAGAACTCCTGACCCCACGTTTTCTGACTGCACCTGTGTCAAGTACTAGTAGCTAGTGAGTAGTAGGTCTACCGACGTCACGGCCATGCATGCACCGTCCTACAACTACATGAAACGTCATGTATCATAGTAGATACTGGTGTTTGCGACAATCGATCCTACACTACGTCTTCAGTACAGTACACAGTCAGCTATATACTTGTATCAGTGCAACAACTTGAACAAGTGTATGAAAGTCACTGGAGCGAAAAAAAAAAAAAAAAAAAAAAAAAAAGTACGAAAAATCAAAAAATTAAATTCCGCCAGCACTCTTGACCACCCACCCCCTTTTTGCCTGAGGACGGATTTTTTAATTTTTCGAAAAATACGGACGACCCCTTAGAGTGTGAAAGGCTGGCGGTAATTCATCATAACTCCGTTGGTCCACCATGTTATTGTTACTTATTTGGTGCTTCTTGGATAGAATGCGTTTGAGTGTTTGCGCTGATATGAATGATGCGGTGATTGCTTTCATCAGGTCCATTTACATGTATTGTAGTTATAAATGTAGTAAATATGTGCAAACGCGAACTTTCATCCTCACACTCCGCGAATCACACTTCCCCGCTTGTTGCACATGTCACTTCTCGAGAAAGAACGTGCAGGTTGTCCTCAAGAAAACCGTTCAGTGAATCTGCCAGTGACACTATTATGCTTTATCTACGTTTGCTAGTTCCAGCTACGGGAGAACTGGGTTGTTAGCTCAGTTGAGCTTAGGTGAAGTGTTCTTACATTTCTCAGTTATCTCTCACCTCCGTAAATCAACACAGACCGCACAAGCGTTAAAAGAGAGGACCAAAAGGTTTAAAAGTTATGCGTTTTGTGTCCAACACAAACAATTATAAGTATGATACTGGTGAGTAGGGGTGTGCGGATTCTGCTCGAAAAGTAGTGAAATTGGCAGAACCATGCAAACCTTATGGCGGGCAATTCCTCGAATTCTGCTCCATTTCTTTATCCACATACCAAACATGCATGAAACTTACCAGAAAAGTACCGAATTCTGCCAATTTTTCTGCCGGCATTATCCGCATATGCCTACTGGTGAGTCAAAACGTGCAATGATTAGCACAAAACTGGCTGACTGTTGAGATGCTGTAATTCAACGAACTGATGCTAAGCTTGCGTCACGTCTTGGAATGCACAAACCAATGGCCTTCCCACTTGGAAGGTGATAACTTGTAAACCTTTGGTCCTCTCCTTTAATTTTAATCCTTGGCTCTCCATCCGAGTCTGATCTCCATACCGTAATGTTGTGACATATTTGTATTCATTCACTTTTGTATCTACATGTACACTGTTGTGAATTGCAGCAGAAATCCAAGAGAGCTCGATACCGGGAAGGTAGAGCCGTGACACACTAGTCAGAACAACAGATGGCTTGATCAGTCACAACTTAAAGTTTCATGCCATCTCAGGCACTCATCAGGTGGCATGAAACTTTAAGTTGTGACTGATCAAGCCATCTGTTGTTCTGACTAGTGTATCTACATGTATGTATTCATTCCACATCCCATAGCATGTAATTGCAGTTGTCAATCAAAGGGGACCCGGAGGGGGTGCAAGCCATCCACGGCCGAGGAACGCAAAGAAATATAAATAGAGAGAAAAGGAAAAAGAAAAGGTAACTAGAAGAGGACTATTGAGGCACTGAAAGGTGGGCGTCAAAGTCTCTGAGGCATGATGTGAGCTTAGTGGCTCGAGGAAGAAGGAGCCGTGCATGGAAAGCAAGAAACAGAGGCGAATTTTTCTAGAGGAGTCGAGAGAACCAGTTCTAATCAGTTATAAAGGCTAAAATGCGGGGTGGAGGCGCAATTTACTATTATTCTTTATTCCATGATGGCGAGGCGCCAATAAGGAAGATTGGTAGGTGTGATAGAATTGATGCTAGCCAGAAACAGCTAGGTGTAAATTAACCGTGGGAGGCAATGAACAATTGATCATGAAAAACAAGCGGGGTCAAACGCAGGGGTGATCGAGATAGTTAATACACATTCGAGATATCAGAAACCAGAAGGGAGCGCGGAGCAGGAACAGGTACTGCTCAAAAGAAGACTGGATGCATTGTTTCGGAAAGAATTTCTACGAGGTTGGGTTGTGATCTCGGTAGGGAGTGAGTTGTAAAGGGTGCGGGCACTGTTGATGGGGGAATCTCGCTGCCTGTTTGTGTGTGTGTGTGTGTGTGTGTGCGTGCGTGCGTGTGTGTGTGTGTATGTGTGTGTGTGTGTGTGTGTGTGTGTGTGTGTGTGCGAGTCCCGATGGAGCACTGTTGATGGGGGAATCTCGGTGCCTGTTTGTGTGTGTGTGCGCGCGTGTGTGTGTGTGTGTGCGTGCGTGCGTGTGTGTGTGTGTGTGTATGTGCGAGTCCGGATGGAGTAGGTCCTTGTCTGTCGAAGGGTACGTGTATAATAATTATGGTTGGTGTTCACGTTGTGGTGCAATTGTAACGTGCGTCGGCGAGGCTAGGAGGCTACTACCCACAGTCAGTCAACTAACGTATCAGAACTTACTCCGGCACGGCCTGGAGGTTATCTTATATCAAAGTGAAAGTGAACTTGCTCTCTCTCTGATCTCTATCGGATCTCTCCGATCTCCTCTTGGCAGAGAAACACAGCAGCTTTTATAGGCAAGCAAAGTATGTATAGCAAAGCAGGCGGCGGTAGGAAAGTAAGGTTAGTAAGCCATTGCAGTGATTACGAAATCATCCTTCTAGTACAAGTTCTAGAATAGTGGAGAAGTAAACCTAGATCATCATTGCTATACACGTACTTCAATAGACGAAGTGAGCATTGCGTAACATTAACATAATGACTAAGCGAGGTGTTCTAGAAGGTGAGATATCTATATATATTATGCAATTTAGTCAGCAACATTACTCATCGGGCATATGACGTGGAAGGTCTGGAATAGTCCGGAACAACATGACATACATGTGTACATGAGTCATGACTGTACCAACTAGTACATGTAACTACATGTGTAAAAGGAAGTGATACTAGAAGTGATGACAGCAGCATGCATGGAAGATCTAGGATCTTCTAGTAGAAGCATGGTGCTCCTGATGTAATCAAATCATGTGTGAGGTACATGATGTAGGACTTGTCCGAAAGTAGTAACAAGAGTAATTATAAGAGTCATGCAAAATACAATGTCATGTACTAGTCATGCGTTAACTGTAAAGCAGGGATACTACACAATATGTGCTTGTTGCAGATGTGGTGAGCAGGTTTGGTGGTGGGTGTCCCATGCTAGTTTAACAAGGAGTCGTGAGCCAAGCGTGGGGAGATTTGCATGGTGGAGTAGGGAATTGTGGTGAACTGGTGCACAGGGGGAATCCGAAGGCAGATGTGGCACGGCGCTGAATTCTCTCCAGTGTGTCCCGCTGTTGCTGTGTGATGGTGGAGTAGGCAAGGCTGCCTGCCATATTCGAGAACAGGTCCGATGTATCCTGTGTATATTGATAATGGACTGAACCCGTTCGTTGTGCCTCGTGTCTTGTGGAGTTGGTGCAGTAATTTCTTGGCTTTGTTGGTAGTTTGTACAAAGTATGATGTGTTGGGTCCATCGCATATCGTTTTGGAGTGTACCGCCAAGATGCCTATGTTGGTGGACCTGCTGCTGTAGGGTGGAGTGGAGTGTGATGTGGGTGATGGATTGAGGTTGGAAGGAAAGGACGACGGTTTTCGTGGTGTTGTGTTGACGAGGAGATGCCAGTCCTTCCACCATCGCCCTGCTGCGTCCACGGCTGAATGTCGTTGCTGTTCGTCCGTTGTGTTCCTTCTTCACTGTATCTGTGGTGACTTTTGCCTTAGGCTTACATTTACATTTACATTTACAAATAGCGGAGTCCTCCGGATCGATAGAGTGCTCAATGCGGAAGCACAGCAGTAACACACGAGTCACAGAAAAACCACGCGTCTTGATTGTCGTAACTTAAAGTTTCATGCCATATAGCAATCTTCAGACAACTGATTATGTATGACAACTGATTATGTATCAGTTGTCTGAAGATTGCTATATGGCATGAAACTTTAAGTTACGACAATCAAGACGCGTGGTTTTTCTGTGACTCGTGCATTTACATTTACATGTACAAGTACTGTCTCCCTTAGACATGCTTCGACCAGTGGGCACTTCTTCCGACAGTTACAACTACTAGTGAGTTTTTTTAATTTATTTTTATTTATTTCACTCAACTCGTGGTTCATGACCAATTGGCACGCAAAGTGCGAGAGAGGGGTGATAGCCAACCACGGCAAGAAAAGAAAAGAAAGGAATATAGAAAAAGAGAAGAAAGAAGGATAGACAAGAATCCAGCAATGAGACCCTATCGTACTACATTATGCGATCGGAGTGCATTTTTAAAGCTGGAAAGACATTTTGATGTCTTAACATGCTGGGGAAGTTGCAGCCAAAGGCTGTAGGACAAAAACAGAGGAGAGTTGGTAAATGCGGCTGAATTAGCACGGGGAAGTGAGAGACTATTACGAGTGGACCGGGACAGAGAAAACCAATTGAGTACGGAGAGATGAATGGGAATTTTACCTAGGCGAAATCTGTGGATCAAAACGCAAAGCTGCTGTTTGCGATTATCTTGCAGTGGCTGAGTATTGCTGATACAATAGAGCTTAAGACTAGGAAATAAACGCTGCTTGTTAAACAATATTTTAAGAAGAGATTTATGTTGGATTTCAAGTTTGTTCACAAGATGTTGACTTAGACTACACCAAGACTGACATGCATACTGGAAAATAGGTAATAGATACGAGCGATAAAACATAGAACGGCATGTATTTGGCAAATGAGAACGATGAGCATATAGTATGCCGAGAACACTACTAGTTTTCTTGCAAATATAGTCTACATGGGGAGCCCATGTTAGACAGTCGTCAATAATTATACCAAGGTGCTTATGTTCATGGACAATTTCTATGGTCGATGAGCTGCCAGGACATGATAAAGACACATTACAGAACTGATCACTAGCACCGCTACAGAAGAACATCACTTTGGTCTTACTAGTGTTCGGTCTCAGCTTCCAAGTCGACATCCAAGAAATGGTGGAGTTTTTTCTGGAGGTCATTGACTAGCAATTGCTTGCAACTACTTGAAGCGGAAACTGTGGTGTCATCGGCGAGCAGTGAAACATTAGGGACAGACATCGATAGATCATTGACGTAGACTAAAAAGAATAGTGGCCCCAGGATTGACCCCTGTGGCACACCAGAATTAATTGCCTGGGGAGACGAGAGGGTGTTGCCGACGCGTACAGCCTGTAACCTGTCAGTTAGGTAGCTTTCAAAGAAACAAAGCAGGTTGCCACCAATGCCATAGGCACCCAACTTGGCAATCAGGCCTCTATGCCAAACAGTGTCAAAGGCTTTCGCCAGGTCAAAGAAGCACATGCCAGTATGTTCTTTCAAATGTCGGGACTGCATGATGTTTTGGATCAGGTGGACTAGGTGCAGAGCTGTGGAGTCCCCTCGCCGGAAACCAGACTGCATGGTATGCAAGTACGGGGACAAGTGTCGATATAGCTGATCGTACACAATGCGCTCAAACAGCTTTGAAATACAGCACAGTAGGGAGATGGGTCTGTAGTTCGTTGCATCCGACCGGCAGCCTTTGCGCTTATAAATTGGGACCACTAATGCGTATTTCCATGCGGAGGGAAAGATTCCAGACGACAGAGAGATGTTAAAGAGCAGCGATAACGGATATGCTAGGCTGTCTTGGAGGTGTTTCAGGATTTCGTTTGGTATACCATCGTAACCAGGAGACTTCTTATTGGGGAGACTGCGTATGTACAGTACGGGATGAAATCGTCAGCGATGTAAACGTTGACTCTACAGGTATTTGGTGGATAGGAGGAACTAACCATTCAGGTCTATCCTTAACGCAGAAGCTGGTAAACTGCTCATTCAGAGCATCCGCCGCCGCTGACGTTTGTACTGCGTTGCATTGGACAGGGTAGGGTATTTTTTATAGATGCTGTAGAGGTCATGCTTTCTCTTAATGCCTGCCCTGAGCACTGGTGTCATCCATGGTGGATCCTGGCGGCTTCGGTTTCTGGTGGTTGACTGGTGATCGCGGTGAGAAGAGCAGACTGAGAGAGACGATTCGAGGTCAGACGAGAAGTTAGAAACGGCTGTATCAATATCAAGGCCGCATAAAAGGTCACTCCAGTGAGTTACGGCAATTTCAGCATTGACGCCTTCCCATTGCGATTGAGTGAGCAAGTGATGGTTGAAGCGAGGCGGTGCACAAGTCCTGGTGCCATGGTGCCATTGTTACAACCCCCAACACCACCAACACCGCCGCCGCCGCCGCCGCCGCCGCCGCCTCCGCCGCCGCCTCCGCCGCCGCCGCCGCCGCCGCCGCCGCCGCCGCCGCCGCCGCCGCCGCCGCCGCCGCCGCCGCCGCCGCCGCCTCCGCCGCCGCCGCCGCCGCCGCCGCCGCCGCCGCCGCCGCCGCCGCCGCCGCCGCCGCCGCCGCCGCCGCCGCCGCCGCCGCCGCCGCCGCCGCCGCCGCCGCCGCCGCCGCCGCCGCCGCCTCCGCCGCCCGCCGCCGCCGCCGCCGCCGCCGCCGCCGCCGCCTCCGCCGCCCGCCTCCGCCGCCGCCGCCGCCGCCCGCCTCCGCCGCCTCCGCCTCCGCCGCCGCCGCCGCCGCCGCCGCCGCCGCCGCCGCCGCCGCCGCCGCCGCCGCCGCCGCCGCCGCCGCCGCCGCCGCCGCCGCCGCCGCCGCCGCCGCCGCCGCCGCCGCCGACGCCGCCGCCGCCGCCGCCGCCGCCTCCGCCGCCGCCGCCGCCGCCGCCGCCGCCGCCGCCGCCGCCGCCGCCGCCGCCGCCGCCGCCGCCGCCGCCGCCGCCGCCGCCGCCGCCGCCGCCGCCGCCGCCGCCGCCGCCGCCGCCCGCCTCCGCCGCCCGCCTCCGCCGCCGCCGCCGCCCGCCTCCGCCGCCCGCCTCCGCCGCCGCCGCCGCCGCCGCCACCGCCGCCGCCGCCGCCGCCACCGCCACCGCTGTAGTGTATCCACTCCAAACCCCATGGAGATTTCCGTCAAATTTGTCTAAATCGCAACTTTTTTTGTTACTTGTACATGTAGATCTACTCTTGACCCTTCCTTACTTTTTGGTCCCGTATACATGGTATATCCATAATCACTCTACTCCAGTTTCTGCCGATCCCGCGTACCCGCGCGCGGTGTTCTCACGCACCGTATTGCGTGGTACGATAATGTTGTACTTTCCTATGCCGCGTACCCATTTTTGGCTTTCTTTTTTCCTTTTTCTGTATTCTCCCTTCGACAAGAAGTGCTTCTCTTCACTTGGTTGATAGAAGACGGTTGTCGTTTTTTCTCTCTCAACTTCAGTTTATCCATGTAATTCTGGTGCCCCTGGCTTGCTGTGTCGTGTGGTGTTGGATGTGAGGAATCTGCATGCTTTCCGAAAATTCCCACAATTGGTGACCCCGATTTTGCCGTGTTTTACTATGTCTACGCCGGTTCGTCCCCCTGCCTCTGTCGGACGTGGACGTCCACGGGGTTCCGGAGCTGTTTCAAATACGCCGCTCCAGCCAACTGTGTCCAGTTCCCATGCCACTGACGGACAACCTGTACCAGCACCTCCACCAGCAGCAGTAACCAGCGTTTCTCTCAAACTCCCACCTTTCTGGCCGAACGATCCGCAACTGTGGTTCACGCAGGTCGAAGCGCAGTTTGCCATAAAGGGCATCACCGTGGAGAACACCAAATACCAATACGTGGTGAGCTCGCTAACCCATGAGTTCGCTCATGAGGTGCGCGATGTGCTTCTGCAACCGCCAACTCAGCAACCCTACACCAACTTGAAGCGGCACCTCGTGGAGCGTTTGTGCGCCAGCGAGCAGAAACGCATCCGTCAGCTCCTTACGGAGGCACAACTGGGAGATCGCCGTCCATCGCAGTTCCTCCGGCATCTTCGCCAGCTGCAGGGCGCCTCTGTTGTGGAATCTGCAGTGCTCCAGGAACTGTTTCTGCAGCGACTCCCACCCCATGTACGAATGGTCCTCGCCTCCGCATCCTCACTGTCTCTGGAGCAGCAGGCCTCCCTCGCTGACAATCTAATGGAAATCGCCAGCACTCCGCAGCCGGCCCTACATCATGTCGCCGCTACGCCTGTATCACCCAGCCCAGACGCGTCCATGGAGCCTCAAGAACTGCGAACCGAAATTTCCTCCCTCCACCAACAACTGGATCGTGCCAGCTCGTCTCAGCACCGTGGTCGATCCCAATCACCAGGGCATGGCCGTAGCAAGTCCCCACGACGGCCACAGAAGGACCAGTCTGACGACACTCTCTGCTTTTACCACCGCAGATTTGGCGATAAAGCCCAGCGCTGCACGATGCCATGTTCCGAGTCGGAAAACTTCCGCGCCAGCCATTAGCTGCGGCGTCATGTGCTGGCGAGCAGTCACCTAGCCGCCTCCTCCACCTGACTGACCCCACAACTCATACACGTTTCCTGGTCGACACAGGAGCTCAACTTAGTGTTTTGCCGGCCACTCGCACTGATCGCCGCGGCACATCGTCCCAGTCACTCCGCGCTGCCAACGGTACACCCATTGCTACATATGGACACCGTAGTGTTACTGTCGACCTGGGACTCCGGCGCCGTTTTCAGTGGGTCTTTGTGATCGCTGAGGTGGAACAGGCCATTCTAGGAGCGGATTTCCTCCATACTCATCACCTGCTCGTCGATATTCGTGGCAAGAAGATTGTTGATTGCCTCACGAATATGTCTACAACTGCACACACCATGTTTACTGCTTCTCCTGTGCGTCCTGTCGTTAACCTCCTGTCGGCACCTCCTCCTGTCCAGGAGTTGCTCACCGAGTTTTCAGGCATTACTCGTCCGTTCTCCGCAGTTCAAGAGCCCCAGCACTCAGTCGCTCACCATGTGACCACCAAGGGTCCCCCGGTCCACGCCCAAGCTCGCCGCCTCGCACCTGACAAGCTACACTCAGCCAAGGCGGAGTTTCAACACATGCTGGATCTCGGAATTATTCGTCCTTCGTGCAGCCCATGGTCCTCACCATTGCACATGGTCGCTAAACCCTCTGGCGATTGGAGGCCGTGCGGAGATTATCGTGCACTGAACAATGCCACCGTCCCCGACCGCTACCCCATTCCGCACCTGCAGGACTTCACAGGGCAACTTCATGGCTGCACAGTATTCTCGAAGTTGGACTTGGTGCGCGCCTACCATCAGATACCGCTACATCCTGACGACATCCCGAAAACGGCCGTCATCACGCCCTTCGGACTGTTCGAGTTCACCAGGATGCCATTTGGTCTACGGAACGCCGCCCAAACATTTCAGCGTTTCATGGACGAGGTGCTACGTGGGCTGCCATTCTGTTTCACCTACATCGACGACCTTCTCGTGGCTAGTACTGACATGAAGAGCCACATGGAACACCTTCGTGCCGTCTTCCAGCGCCTGGCTGACCACGGAATTGTCATCCACCCAACCAAGAGTGAGTTTGCTGTATCCTCCTTAGATTTTCTAGGACATCATGTTAATCCTGTAGGTATTACTCCCTTAGATAGCAACATGTCCTCCATTCAATCTTATGCACAGCCCACTACTACCCGTTCTTTGCGTCGTTTTCTTGGTTTTGTGAATTTCTATCATCATTTCATTCCTCACTCTGCTGTCATTCTCCAGCCATTGCATGCATTGCTGTCCTTGCATCCTGCCCGTCCTAAGTCAGTGCCACTGTCATGGACCGATGATGCAATCACTGCTTTCACTGACATCAAAGCTGCTCTGTCACAGGCAACTCTCCTTGCTCATCCACATCCCTCTGCTCCTATTTGCCTCATGACCGATGCCTCTAATTCTGGCATTGGCGGTGCACTTCAACAGTTTGTGGATGACCAGTGGCAACCTCTCGCCTTCTTTTCTCGTAAGCTCACGTCTACCCAGCAGCGGTACAGCACCTTCGGCCGAGAACTCCTCGCCATGCATTCCGCTGTCAAGCATTTTCGTTACTTGCTGGAAGGTCGCTGCTTCTTCATTGCCACTGACCATCGCCCCTTGACTTCCGCTTTGGCTGCACCTCCAGAGCGCTACTCTCCACGCGAGGTACGTCATCTGCAGTTTATTTCAGAGTTCACCACTGACATTCGTTTTGTCCCTGGCCTGGAAAACCCTGCTGCAGATGCCTTGTCCCGTATCAACAGTGTCTACCGCCCTACAGATCGTATTGACTTCAGCGCATTGGCTGCTGCTCAGCGCAATGATGATGAGTTGATCGCCCTTCGATCTCGACCAGACACCAGCCTAGTGTTTGAAGATCAGCCCTGCCCTTCCGCTGAGTCTACGATTGTTGTTGATACCTCTACCGGCACAGCCCGCCCCTACGTCCCGCAGCTGTTCCGACGTTCCGTGTTCGATACCTTACATGCCTTGTCCCATCCTGGCATCCGTGCGACGCAGAAGTTAGTCTGTTCACGCTATGTTTGGCCCGGCATGAATCGCGACATCCGTGACTGGACCCGTGCATGCTCCTCCTGCCAACGCTCCAAGATCCACCGTCACACCCGCAGCAAACCTGGCATCTTCCCATTGCCTGAAGCCCGTTTTCAGCAGGTGCATCTTGATCTTGTTGGACCATTCCCCATGTCGAATGACTACACGCACTTGCTGACATGTGTGGACCGTTTCACCCGCTGGCCTATCGCTGTTCCTCTCTCGAACACAGTCACATCTACTGTCTTGGCTGCGTTTCTCTCTCATTGGATAGGTAATTTCGGCGTTCCCACCCACATTGTCACAGATCGTGGTGCCCAATTCGAATCCGTTCAGTTCACCGCCTTCCTTTGTGATTTCGGCATCAAGCGTCGTCGCACAACAGCATATCACCCCCAGAGAAATGGTCTCGTTCAGCGTTTTCACCGGACCCTGAAATCTTCCCTCATGTGCACGCCTCATCCTGAACGTTGGTCTGAGAATCTTGCTCTGGTCTTGCTTGGCCTCCGGTCGACTGAGAAGGCTGATTTGGGTTGTTCTCCGGCAGAGCTTGTTTATGGTAACTCTCTCCGTTTGCCGCAGAATTTCTACCGCGCCGCCCCGGAGGTTACACCCGACCCTGCCAGCTACTTGTCCCGCCTTCGAGAGTTTGCTCACATCCTTCAACCTAGTGCCTCTCGTCCTGCAGCCACACCCGTTCACTTGTCTCCTGACCTCCGGACCTGTACTCACGTCTTCGTCCGGAATGAGAAACGTCGTCGTTCTCTGGAGCCACCGTACGACGGCCCCTTCCCTGTTCTCCGGCGGTCTGATAAGTACTTTTCCGTTGATATCCGTGGCACCACTCGGGTCATATCGATTGATCGTTTAAAGCCTGCCCATCTGCCAGTGCCTGCTAGTTCTGCTCCGGCGACTGCAGCCCCTGTCCATGTTGTGAAGCGAGTCCATTGGCATTGATCACTTGCCATATCTGCCATGTTCTCCGGTCATTCCTTTCTGTTCTCTCTCCTGTTCTCTACATCTACTCCTAATCTCATTCTTACTCTCTCTTCCTCTTGCCTTGATATTCTTTTAGGGGGGAGGTACTGTAGTGTATCCACTCCAAACCCCATGGAGATTTCCGTCAAATTTGTCTAAATCGCAACTTGTACTCTTGACCCTTCCTTACTTTTTGGTCCCGTATATCCATAATCACTCTACTCTAGTTTCTGCCGAGGTGTTCTCACGCACCGTATTGCGTGGTACGATAATGTTGTACTTTCCTATGCCGCGTACCCATTTTTGGCTTTCTTCTTCCTTTTTCTGTATTCTCCCTTCGACAAGAAGTGCTTCTCTTCACTTGGTTGATAGAAGACGGTTGTCGTTTTTTCTCTCTCAACTTCAGTTTATCCATGTAATTCTGGTGCCCCTGGCTTGCTGTGTCGTGTGGTGTTGGATGTGAGGAATCTGCATGCTTTCCGAAGATTCCCACACCGCCACCGCCACCACCACCATTCCCGGCTTGTTTCTTGTAGCGCGGAAAAGTTTCTTTTTATACACTCTTTCTGTGCAACTGCAATATGACTGTTTTGTACATGTACATGACTGTACATGTATGTGGTTCGGAGTTAGTTCCGGACATTTCAAAGTTACGGGCAGTGCTCAGTCCCGGACCGCCAGGATAAACGAGGTATGAGTGTACTAACTTCGAAGTACAGCACTTTTGATGTGCATACAATCATCGTGTCAATAGAGAGTTTACGCTTCGAGTTTTTTTCAATTCTGAACGTGAGATCTCATGGTGAAAAAGGCGATTCAACCCACGTTTTTTTCCCATGTTCATGTGAAGCGTAAACTATCATGTCCGGGGCGCCCCCCCCCCCCCGCCGGCGGGGGGGGGGGCGTCCGTGATCTGATCTTCGTCTTCATGAATTCAGCTCATGCATGCCTCTCTGTGCATACATAATGACAGTCATGTAGTCTACATACAGTCACTACATACATGACAATCATGTACCGTAAAGTACCGTTGATCCGCCCCCTCTCTAATTCCCGCCCCCTGTCGATTTTCTCCTTGTGAAGCGACTTCGGCGTATACAACGAAATACGATGTTAAACCGACGCATGCACTGCTGTACACAATATTCGCCAATCCAGGATCAAAATGTGCACAATCCAGCACATTGAGTCTGATCCTCTACGTTGTTGTACATCGTACTGCACTTGACAGCCTTGATCTAATTCCCGCCCCCCTGCCGAAAACCCAGCCCGGAAGCGACATAGCGTGGGGGCGGATCAACGGTACTTTACGGTACTAGTATACTGTAGATCTACTTCCGGCTGCTTGGCGAGGAGATAGATGTGCATGATTGTACTATGATGCAGGTCTACTCAGTACTCTATAGTACTGTACTGTAGTAGGACTAGTACTACTAGTAGTAGATCTACTAGTTTTAATATAGTAGGTCTACTGTCGATTCTCATCAGGGAGTAGTAAAATACACTACTCCCTGTATTTTACTACTCCCTGATTCTCATGCACACATGCATAGCGCATAGCACTAGTATTAGCAGTGACCAGGTGACACATGGGAGCGTTGCTATCGTCGAGTATCGTCACCCAGCAAATGCTGGTGATATAACAGTGGTGTTTGTTGTATTCTTTTCCTTGCTTGATGATCTTATTCAAGCTTTCCTCTCACACTCTTCTTGCGGAGAGGACAGACCAGTAGTAGCTGGCATATTTACTTGCCACCCATATAAATTATAATGGCTTAGCAGCGGCATACCTACCACCTATAAATTTTGGACACAGGATTCCCAGCCCGGATTTTGGTTGCGGACGTTTCCGATGAGCGCAGTTAATCATGCGGTATCGCTGCACAATCAGTCACCCGCAGCTGCCAGTTCTGCTGCTGATGAAGTTTCTGGTTGTGCACTTCCTGGCTTGTGATGGGTCGAGTGCATTACTTCGTTCACAAAGCGTGGCAGTCAGCAACTCCGGAGGTAAGTAGAAGTTGTAGTTGCTGGTTTGTTGTTTTCGGGATTTTTTTAGTTTTTAATAATTTGATTTAACCGGTGGTATACCGGCGTTAGCTTCACTCGCACTCAGCGGCAAGTGGAAAGTGGAAAGTCGGTTTTACGACTGTCCACCGCAGTTCTTGCAGATACGTGTAATCGGTGCTATAAAGCCAGCAAAGGCGTGCGTGGTCTTTGCATCACGCTCACTCAGTCTGTATTCTACTCTAGACCAGTGTAGTTTGAAGAGGATGTGTTGTGGAGCCCACAAGCACGCACAAGACACACTACAGATGAACACAAAAGAAAATTTTAAAAGACGGGAACGCATGTCGTAGACTGGATAAATCTCTGCTAAACACGCTGATACCAGTGTATTGCCAGTAGGGGTGAAACGGTTCCATGTTTTTCATGTTCGGGTACCCTAATGCCAGCATAATTTCCCACGGTTCGGGTATCGGTTCTATGCACTCTTTTCTTCAGACCGACAAAATGGGTTCGTGACAATTATTTTTTAGAAAACATTTTTAGGAGCAAGCACGAGACATCGGAGAGTCCATGTGCGAAGAAGATAATGACCAGGAGAACACTTGGGAAGAGCGGTGATCATAAGATAAGACATTTCAATCTTGAGTAGACTTCACGTGTACATGTATTTGTACGAGAACGAAATTTTTTCGAGTTTCGGTTCGAAATTTGACGGAACGGGTACCCGATTCTTTTCAGCTGGCGGTTCTAAAACCGGTTCCTTACCTGAACCGTTTCACCCCTAATTGCCAGACAGCTGCAGTATTAGTGCATGTAGCCCCAAACTGAGTTACAGTCGGCGAGTACTAGTATGGCATGTTATGATTGCTAATCACTGCACCAATATCATTAGTACATTGTATAGGTCACCCATGCATGGCGGCCGCTTTCGTTCAGTGTGGTGCTGAACTGGCACTAATCCCGGGCCTCAGAATGTTGCAGCAGTCGTGAGTACATGGCTGTAGCTGCCCCTGCTTCACATTGTGGATTATTATTATTATTATTATTATTATTATTATTATTATTATTATTATTATTATTATTATTATTATTATTATTATTATTATTATAGACAACACCTCATAGCATGAAAAGAAAATCAGCCAGTACGGGAGATGTGGGTGTTAACCAACCACGGTGAATAAAATAAGGATCAATCATGTTTCGATGTCATGAATATTGCGTGGCGTGGATTGGTATTCGACCTGCATGCACCTTGAACCGCGCTCTGTGCTCACCGTAGGGGGGGGGGGGGGGGGTAATCGTTTTACCTCTAGACTGTGACCTACCCCATTTCCTCACGACATGATGACATAATAATAATACCGGTGTCGACAGATAGAATGCGCTGCCTCCATCTTGTCGCCAGGCCGGATCGCCTGCTGTGTTTCATGCTCTCACAAAGTCTCATTTAATTTAATTTAATTTTTTTTTACAAAATACACAACTCACCGGCAGGCACATGGGGATAGCATGGAGTGAGATGGTGCTGGTGGGGCTTGCCATGCTCAACCGACGAGAGGTCTCGGCATCTTCACATGGTAGGCGCACCAAATTAGGGAGGGAAGCATAAGCATGAGGGGAAAAAAGCAAGGGAGAAAATGGAAGATTTAGAACGAAGGAGAGGATCTAATTTCGGAACACAACAGAAAATAGCAAATAATCAAACAGATAATAGGAGTGAAAGGAGAGTGTCAAATGAAGGGTGCAATAGGGTAGCAGTGGAGATTGGCTACTCAGGATTGGCGACAATTAGGCTTGGGATGGGAGAAGCAGGGGCATAATCCCGGAGAAGGCTAGAGGCGGTCGGTTGCCCAGTCCCAGTCAGACTGCCTCAGGTGGTCATAAGAAGGTCTGCATCGACTTCTGGGAGGGGCGAGCACTGAGGATAGAGGCTGGGAGGCAATTCCAGGTGTCAATCATACAGTGGGGGAAGGACCGAAGGACATTGTTGGGAAATCCGTAACAAAATAAGAAATTTCAAAGGATCAGTCGGGGAAGCGAACTGCCGGAAAAGAGAAAAAATGCCAGACCGAAAAGGACTCGAACCTGGGACCTTGCTTGTCATGAGGAAAGCTCTAACCATCTGAGCTATGAACCTAGAAGGCACTGACAGGTTTTTCACTCCAAAGGCAGCTTCACAACATGTGCCACGCATACTGATGGCACTTGGATCTTTTTCCCTCCCCCAGGGGACCAACCGTGGTCAGTTTCTGGAACGTAGTGCCTCAGGTGAAAGAAAGTGATTAATTTTTAAAGGATTGGGAGAACTTCAAATTTCAAAGCATCAGTCGGGGAAGCAAAACTAAAACTCGTGAATAGGGCACACCGTACTCGCTTGAATAGTGCCCTGTCTCTGAGAGACATTACTCACATTAGGGAGGTTTTGCATTTCGAATTTCGGAATTATTTTCGGAATGTGGCGGCAGGAGTCGAAAAAGTGGTCGAACTTTCGGAAATGTGGTGGCGAAAGTGCATGGTTTTCCGAAAATACATTTTCGGCTCTTTCCTGCTTGGGAGCGCAAATTTGAATATTTTTCATGTTTGTATTTTTGTTTTCTGCTGCTCTCGCTGATCATATTTGAAAAATTCCATGTGTGTAGTTTGGGTTTTTGCTGCTCTCGATGATCTCGCCATGTCGACTAGATTTTCTCACACTCATGGATCCTACGAGTACAAGACCGTAGTTCGCCAACCTTCAGCTGTTGGATCACTCGGTACATCACTCAGTCCGTCCTCGTCTTCGAACCGCACCCAAATTCGCCCGTTTGACCTGCACATGGTTTTGATTCTGCTCAGGCAACTCCTATTTGTACCCAAGCCAGTGATGCCGCTTGGTGCTTGGCGATGCTATCTGTGATGGACAAGCAGCCAAGAAGGCAGTTCAGACGTCAGCTCGCAACGCTCTCCGAACCCACGCTGCAACTGTATGCTCTTCACTGAGTGCAGACCAACAGCGCACAGTTGAGCTTGCAGCGGAGGAGGGAGCCTCAGGGTGGTTGACGTGCCGACCCCTGAAACGCCATGGCTTTGCTATGGCGAAGGCGGAGTTTCGGGATGGTTTACATCTCCGCTACAACTGGAGACTACCGCACATGCCGTCTGCGTGCTCTTGTGGGAGCCAGTTCACCATCGCCCATGCCTTGAGCTGTCCAACGGGTGGGTACCCCAGTATTCGCCACAATGAAATTCGAGATGTGACAGCTGGCCTTCTGAAGAGAGTAGCTACCAATGTCTCCGTTGAGCCGCACCTCGAGCCTCTGTCGGGTGAGCAGCTGTCTCTTCGCACTGCCATTCGTGCCGATGCTGCCAGATTGGACGTGGCCGCTAACGGGATATGGGGAGGACGATTTGAACGCACATATATTGATGTCAGGGTTTTCAACCCATTTGCGCCCTCAAATCGCTCCTCCTCCGTCTCCGCAGCCTACACCCGCCATGAGAAGGCAAAGAAGCGTTCGTACGAACAGCGCTTGCGTGATGTAGAGCATGCCTCGTTTGTCCCGGCCGTGTTCTCTACGACTGGCGGCATGAGCAAGTGTGTGTCAGCTCTGTACAAGAGAATTGCTGTGTTGCTTGCAGAGAAGACCGGTGAGTCCTACTCC